TGTAAATGAAATCAAATGCTGTGCAATCTTTGTGTCTGGCTTTTTTCACTTAGCATAATGTTTTTAAGACTCACGTATATGGGAGCATGTATCCATGCTTCATTTTTATAGCAGCCCATTGTAGAGGCCGACTATGTTTCATTTAGCTTTTTGAAGAAACGCCAAATTTCATGACAATAGATACGTAGGTTGTTTCCACTTTGGGGCTCTCATGAATAATGCTTCCACATTCATGTAGAAGTATTTGTATGGACTTGTGTTTAATTTTTTTTATGTATATACCCAGGAGTAGAGTTTCTGGGCCACATAGTAGTATCTCTGTTTAACTTTGTTTATTTTTACTTTTTCAGGACTGGGGATGGAACCCAAAGACCTCACACTGAGCTCTATTACCAGCCTTGTTTTTAAAAAGCTATGTTTACTTTAAGACAAGGTCTAGCAAGGTCACTAAGTTATCCAAGCTAAACTCAAACTTGTGACCCTCCCGCCTCAGCCTCTCGGAGTGCTAGGATTACAATCATGTGCTGCAACATCAGGCTCGAATTTAACTTTTCTAAATGCTAAATTGTTTTCCAAAGAGGCTACATCATCCTCCATTTCCACCGGCAGTATATGAGTGTTCCAACAGCTCCATAACCTTACCAACACTTGTGACCACGTGTCACCGGAGGAAAGTCATGATAGTGTCTGTAGAGTGGGTTCTCGATGTAATTTTAATTTGCATTTTCCTCATGACTAATGACGTTAAATATCTTTTCATGCACTTATGGGTTATTTCTATAACCATTGGAGAAAGTATCCAATTTAATTAGGATTTTTTAATTTAATTCTGTCCATTTAATTAGTATATTTATCTTTCATTGTTGAGCTGCCAAGTATTCATATGTAGACATTTTATTTTTCATAGTACCCTTTGAAGAACAAAAGCTTTTAGTTTTTATGAAGATTTATCCTTCATGAACATTTATCTTTTTTTCTTTAAGCATCATATCTAATAAATCATTGCCTAAATAAAGGTCATAATGATTTATACCTATTTTTTTAAAAGAGTTTTATAGTTTTACATTTAAGCCCTTGGTCCATCTGGACTGTTTTTGTTTTTGTTTGTTTGTTTGTTTTCAGTACTAGGAATAAGGCCCAGGATCTTTCCAATAACCTACTTTCCCAGCCCTTTTTCTTTCTGATTTTGAGACAGAGTCTAAGCAACTGAGTCTCCCCATCCTGCCCCATGAGCTTATCTCAAACTTGCAATCCCTTTGCCTCAGCTTCCTAGTGTACTGGGCTTACAGTTTAGACAACCATACCCAGTTTGGAGTTAATTTTTATGTATGGTATGATATAGGGGTACAAATTCATCCTTTTACATGTAGATATCTAGTTGTCCCAAAAAGAGACTGTTTTTTCTGTCATTGAGTTGTCTCAATCCCCTTGTCAAAAATCAGTTGGTCATAAATATATTGGTTTACTTCTGAACTTTTGATTCTACTCCATTGATATATACACCTATATCTACACCAGTACCACACTGTCTTGATGACTGTAGCTTTGTAGTATGCTTTAAAATTGGCAAAATAAGATAGTTATACAGCCATTTTCTCTTAGTTCATTAAACAGAAAATTTTGTGCTAATATTGTATAAATAAGATATCATGTCTATATCTTCTACTCTGAATAACTAATAGGAAAACAGCAATAGGCAATTTATCAAATACTGCAACAGTCTTACTAACCCGTTTGGAAACTCCATTTCATTGTTATGTTCATCTTTTTTTCTCTTTAAAATAAAATAAAACTGGGAAGTGTGAGTACGCTAACTTAGTTGCATTTTTCCAGGATAATGTTTTTAGTTTCCTGCTAGTCTTTAATGCGAGTCTTGCAATTCTTACTTAATTTATCTAAGTGAACAACTTAATGTTCAATGATAGTTTCTCCTACCAAGCTGCTATTGAATACTACTGATTTTTCTTTTTCAGATATTGGATTTTTAACTGCAGGATTCTGTATGTGTGTGTGTGTGTGTGTGTGTGTGTGTGTATGTCTGGCTCAGCCTGCTTTGGGGGCGGGGCTGGTACAGCATGTGGTGCGGGGGATCAAACCTTGGTTCCTGTGTTTTGCCTAAGCTTGCCTAAGCAGGCACTTTAGACTGCTGAGCTATCTCGCTGGCCCTCTTTGACATATTTTAAATTTGAATTAATTTCAATGTATATTAAGTCTAATAACTAGGTTTTCTCAGGGATAGTTTCAGTTGACTTAGAGTTCATTATTCTGTTCATTCTGTATGGGCTACACATCCTTGTCAGATATATAGATATACATATATATCATACAATCATATTCATTAATTTTTTATTAATACGTTTTTGCCATACATGGTTCTCACATCCATCATAGGGAATTTGTATGTGTACATACCATGTCTTACTTATTTTTCCCCATTCCCCTCCCATCCCTTCCACCCTTCTACCCCTCCTCATTTACAGAAGCTTTGCTTCCATTCTTCCCCTTCATTCTTTGTTTCTTACCCCTTGCCCTTGCTTCCTTTGCTTTCCCACTGTAGCATGCCCTTCCAGCCTCCCCTCATCCGTCCTCCATTTTGCTCCTTGTTTACCCTTAGAGTTTCCCACACCAGAGAATCAATATGGTATCTAAACATATGAGTTTTATTTCACTTAAAAATATGATCTCAAGCTATTTCCATTTATCAACAAATGACTCAAATTTATCCTTCTTTATGGCAGAGTAGTACTCCACTGCACATAAATCACACATTTTCTTTACCTATTCATCTGTTGTTTCTAAGATTTAGCGATTAAAATTGTACTATTATAAATGTGGATGCATATATCAGTGGTTATGATGCTTTTAACTCTTTGGGGAAGATTTCTAAAAGGGAAATAGTTGAGTGAAATGGCACCTCTAGTTTTAGTTTTTAAAGGGACCTCAGTACTGATTTACAGAGTGGTTATTTCAGTCTCCACTCTTATCAGCAGGTTCTCTTTGCCCCCACAGACTTGCTAGTATTTGTTACTGATTGATTTCTTGATGGTAGCCATTCTTTCTGGAATGAGATGGAATCTTAATACTGTTTTAATTTGCATTGCTCAAATGACTGTAATATATATTTTTGCATGCCAAATACTCTGTCTCCCCAAGCCCATTTTATATTTTTTGTTGAAAATTAAACATTTTAAAAATATAATACAGCAACTCCAGACACCAGGTTCCTCTCCTCTCCTCTCCCTGAGCTTGTTCCTGTTGCTTTGTCATCGTTGTCACTGCTGCTACTGCTACTTGTCTGTTGGATAGCTTCGGTGAGTTACCTCTGTAAAGCCTGTATGCTTTATCATGGGTGGGCTCTGTTCAGCTAATTTAGTGATCAGCTAAAGAATAGACAGAAACTTCCCTAAATGTCTGACACCAGTAACTCTCCCACCAGCAACCTTTGCCAAGGGCTTCTCCATCTTTGACTGTGGCTTCATCAGGTAGGTAGTTTACAAGTCTGACTTCACCTTCCATCCCTGCTTATGTAGAGACTCAAAGTCAGCCAAAAGTGAGAAACTACAGCCTTCCTGGGTCTTTTCTGAGCACATGCGTAGTTCTGATCAGGCACAGGGCCTTCTAGGTTCCCAGGAATTTGTACAAGGCTTTCAGTCTTCTACAAACATTTCATACCCCAACTTTTGTCTTTTGATCTTTTTGAGATAGGGTCTCACAACATAGTTCAGACTAGCACTGAACTCACTACAGAGCCTAAATGACCTCCAACTTGCAGCAATCCTCCTTCTTCAGCCTCCTGAGTGCTGGAATTACAGGCATGGGCCAGCATGCCTGATTTTCTTTTGATTTCAAATTCAGCTTTTTGTTACTCCCTACTGGAATTGCTGCCTTAGAGAACTGCAATATTTAAAAATTCCCCCTGATTTTTTTTGGGGGGACGGGGGCTGGGCGGGGTTGACAGAGAAAATTCTGAGTCAGATCAAATAAAACCAAGCTCTGAGAATGAAGCTTTAAAGGCAATCTCCAGACCAGTCACACTGTAACAGTTTCCTGCCAGTGAGGTTTTTTAGAAAGTGTCACATCAACGTTGGCTCCTTGTAGTGGCTGGTCTTCACAGCTTACCAAAGCTGCAAGCTGGTTTCCGAGGCGACCATGGAGATGGGGGAGGGGTGGCACAGGGCAAGATGAACCACTGCAATGTTCAATGCCATTCAACAATTTTTCTGAAGTACGTATTTCCTGATTGGTGTAAGCCTTTGATTAATTTGCAGAGTCCTGAAAAGGTTTATTTTGACCATGTTGGCCAGGGTTCTTGTTGTTTGTATGCAAGAGTAGAGTTTTCACCCCATTGTCCTGTAAGTGCTGAAGGAACACTCATAGGTGTTACTTTGATTCAATCCTACAACTTACTGCTTTTCTCCTTTAGTAAGTAAATTACAAAAGCCAAAAGGCAGATATAAAAAAAAAAAACTATTTTCTACAAGTTTTCTTGTACTACAGTGCTGTGTACAAGGTGGACCTAAGATGTTTCCTTCCAAAGAAATCATTATAAATCCAGATGCAGTCCTTCTAGGTCTATGCTGGTCATGAAGCAAAAGGGCTGAGGAAACGTATGTGATATTCTAAAAAATGACAGTTTCTATACCTGAGTTTCCTACAGAGAAAAGAACAGAGCTTCCAAACAGCAGGTATGTGATAAGTACTCAGGCCTAATTTCTCTTCAGCTGGCATTTGCCATGTCTCAGCGGCTCTCCTCAAATAGCAAAGGCTGAGATGACTGATATGCAAAACAAAAGTATCATCTGTACATTCCCCAAACTGAAATAGGTAGAGGATCACCGGTGACAGGTAACTAGTGGCTGATGATTCACCCGTGGTGGATGTCTTGAACCAATTCCAAAAGGCTCTGTGTTTCTAGGAGGGGCGGGAAGAAGATTTGCATTTGTGACCTCATGCAGAGGCTCCCGCTTCAGAGCATATAAGGAGAAGGAGATTCTCTGGAGGAGCGTTGGCTGTGGTCAGTCTCACCAGCGTTAGACTCCTCGCTTTCCAAACAGCTCCAGACCATGGCTGGCCTCCGTTCTGTGTTTCTACCTCTGGGGCTATTCCTGTACCTCAAACTACACCTTTCTTCTGCCAACTTTACAAATTACAGCAACAACTGTACAGTCTTTGATAAGGTCTTCACCACCAAAATCCCAGGAATTGAGGTCAAGACAGAAGATTTTCAGGGCAACACGATCTACACAAGTGAGTATAAGCCATTCTTCCTGTCGTCTTTTGATCTCTAGGGGGTGTGAACCAGAGTTTCAGAATCTATTCCCCCTTCCAGCTCTCAGTTCCGTAGCATATGTGTTTCTGAGTCAGACAGGAGGTGAGGGAAGAAAGAAAAAGGAGAGTATGTGTGAGATTGGGTTGAGGGGACTATTTTTGCTTATTCTCTGCAAAAATAGAAGGCAAAAGGTTGCAATACCTGGAGTAAATGAACCTCAGCAAGAGCAATTCTCTGACTTCACTAAAGTGAGCTAGTACTTGCACCACACATACAGCCTTCCACACCCACTGATGAAACTATGCCACGTAAATGAATCTAGAGACTGCACAGCTCCAGGAGGTCCTTACTGTTTGCATATTTTCTGTGTGAGTGAAAACTCCAAGGACCCAGACAGCAGGGAAAACATCACTATTCCATCTTCAGTATGAGAAGCCCAAAGCCAAGAAAAATTAAATGACTTACACAAGGCTTCACTGATAGTAAGTGGCAGAACCGGCTTTTTTCATTCTTAATCCAAAACTTTTCTTAGGAATGTCTAGGAAGCATGGTATCAAGTCCTCTTTGGAGACCTACCAACCTACAGACCAAGGGTTATCCTTTCTGATTGATTTCTTCACAGCAACATTTGCTCTATATGTGTGAAAGCCTTTAATGTTTGTATTCACCTTCCAGGTAGATCTCTTTATGGTTCCTGTTTTGTAGATCTCCAAGAGGCACAAATGTTAAGAAACGTATGCAGGTTACACAGCCACTGCATTGTGAAACCGAGATAGGAAGCAGCATTCCAGTGTCAGTGACCTTGCCCTCAGAGCAAGCTCTTGACTATAGATAATAATAAGCGCCAACATTTCCTATTGTGTCCTGAGTACTGTTCTTGGCAAATGCTATTATATTCCCTTTTTATAGAGCTGTGGCATAGAGAAGTTAAAATTTTACTCAAGATCTTTAGAGTGCAATGGCACTAATATCTAAAGATAACAGCCAAGACTTGTCCTGCTTCAGATCCTGGCTTCTTCAAAGACTAAGCAAATTTTGCAAAGACCACCAGGGGGATAGCCACAGTCAGAGCCTACAGGCTCCCAGACATCACGAATAGCAGCCTGGCATGTCTCCACATATCCTGGCTTGTCTTTGCTTTCAATCTTTTCTTAGGACTATCACTAATGCTTCTGTTATGACAGGGCTGATGATGCCCTACTCCCTCACCCTCAGGCAGTGGCTCTTGTTCTACCAGGGCAGGAAAGACGATCTTGTCATTCAAGATGGGTTAAAAA